TTTTAGTGTCTCCTCTCTGCCGTGTTTGGTCAAAAAGTTGAAAGCCGAGCGTCACTTTTTGCACAATCCGAAACGGCAACAACAACTATAGCAAAACAACAACAACAACAACAACAACAACAGTAACATTTGTGGCGAAAACAAAAGTCAAAAGAAGAAGTCCAAACAAAAAATCCAATAGAAATTTAAACAGTTTGACGCATTAAATACTCATTGGGCAAGTTGCCGAGACTTGGATTCTGGCACATTTTGGGTGGCTTGTTGCCTGATTTTCCAAGGGGACAGGAATGTGTTTGGTTGTTCCAAAATCCCACTAACGACTAAGGGGAAAGTGGTGACACAACATATGGAGCAGGCCAGGGTTTTGTCAACTAATCGAGTCGCATTTGTGTGTGAATTGTGCAATATTTAACTATGCAGCTAATTGCAACGGAATTGATGTTGATTTGGATGCTTTTGGGAATTTCAATAAAAAACAGAGAAAATGCAGAAAGATTAATTAAAAACTTAGCTTGCTAAGTACATATCTTAGTAGTTCTTTTCGACTTTATTGCAAGTAGTTTTCCCAATAACTGATACCTAAATTGATATTTCGTATTTATATATTAAGTTGTTAACACAATTCTCTCTTGCACAACATTTTTTTAATATTAATATTAATAATATTATAATTATAGTTTACCATTTACCTTTACCATTTTGGCGACCACATTTTGTCCGCACAACGACCTCTCTAATACGCACAAATCTGCTAAATGTCAAGGGGCTCAGGGTGGCCTTCCACTCGAATCCTCAAAATCTATATTTAATTGTGGAATTGTGGACCTTCTCGCCCACTTCTCGGATGGTTAACCCTTTACCTGACTGCTTAGATTTAATTAGGATTCCGTGCTCATCTCCATCATAGCCGCAGTCATCATAATCATCATTGTTCTGAGTTGGAAAGGACGGTGTCAGGAGTGCACAGTGGTTGGGCTTGTATGGAGACGCGGCCAAAAATACTTCTAGTTGATTAATCGTTACGAAATTTACACCAAAAATCAAGAAAAATGTTTTAAGTATATCTACAAAAAATTGCCTATATAGCACGTCTACATCATATAGCTGCCATAGAAACAATATGTTAAAAATCAACATTTTGTATGAAAAACTTTTTTGTTTTTCAAAATATCTTAACCAATTTCACAGATTATATGTTTGGTACAAGTTTATGCATTCTTACTAAATTTGGTTAAAATCGGATATCTATATCTTATAGCTCCCATACAAAATTTTAATTAAAACTTTTTTTCCAAGTCAAAAACTAAATTTTTTTATCTCTTAATGACAAAGTTGGTGAAATATAAGTGCCCAGAATTAAAAAAAAAATATAAATTTATATATTGTGTATTTTATTTGTCTAGCAACAAAAGTACACAGCTAAAGGGGTGTAAGGTTAATTCGGTGCAAAACTGCCCACTTTTCAAAAAAATGTTGTGACGAAACGGCTGAATTTAGCTTAATGAATTAAATACCATATAATAACACAACATATAAACCATTTTTTTTTTTAAATTTGTGTATTAAAGAATATTTACAGGCCTACGACTAATAGCGAATCACTTAAGTCCCACAAAAAAAAAGTTTGTTTTCGGTGTACATCCGAACTGTCGACAAAAACATCCGATATCAAAATAATTTATTGCATTCGTTAAAGAATAAGTGCCCCAAGGTACCCAGATCACGTTTTTATTTTTAAAATTCTTTCCCTATTTTTGATCAAAATTATAAATCAACACCCGAATTTTTGCCTAAAAAATTAAGTTAACTTGTTAAAAAAAATATATATTAAAATTAAAAATTTTAAAAAGCTTAACGTGAGTATCTGTGTAGTTAATTTAAAAAGTTATATTCAAAATTTCAAACCGATTGGTTAAGTTGTTTTTAAGTTATCGTGTACACCCATTTTCAAAATGGCATTTTTCAGGAGAGCGAGTTAAACTTTGGGATACTCATACAACGAACACCAAACGACCTCCGTTCAACTACCCATAACTTTGTCAATTTTTTAATAATCGATGTAAAACTTTCACACAATATTTATAAGATATTAAACCTTTATTTAAAAAAAAAAAAATAAAAATACGAGAAAAAATATTAAAAACCTTACCCTCACCTGTGTTAGTATTTTTAAGATTATAGGCACATAGGCAAATTTCGGCAAAATTTTTTTTCACATTTGTCACCTTAAAAGCTCGACAAACACATTGGCATACATATGAACTGTAGATTTTTGTGGGGTCACAACTATAAATTTACCTAAACATAAAAAATACGTTCAAAATATTGGCAAAAAACATGATTATTTCACATTAATATAATGAAAACAATAATTATTATTAATATATAAAATTGTGTCTCTTTTTATAGAAAATACCTTGAACTTCAAAACCCATTACAAAAAATATTAATTTAGACACGTAATAAACGACCGGACCACTTCAAAGTTCGGTTTCGTTGTGAAACATTCGCGATGCGCGTAGCTGCGCTTTGCAAATGAACACGTCTTCACATCTTTAATTCTATTTTTAGAAAGTCCTGTTCGATTTTCAAAAAAATCTGGTATGACACAAGGAAGTTTGGACATTTAAGAGACGATTTTTCTACTTTTCGTACATATTTGTTGAAATAATTTTTTTGATTTTTGGCCTATGGGCGCCACCACTGTGGAGTGCCACTTCATCAGTCAGAATCGAGGGGAAGCCACCACAGCCACCGGCAGTTGTCCGCGCCTGCTGATTTCCAACCTGATTGTCTTTCAGCCCACCACAACACTGAGAAAACTATTTGTTTTATTTGGTTAATTGAACTCAACATCTAGAAATAATTTTAAAACGATTGGGAGTGAAAGTTGCTTTAAGCCTCTTAACGTTGAAAAATTATTTGGAATTCTATAATGATACCAAAATTAATTAAAAATCATACATCAGGATTCTCAATTATGAAATCAGCAAACAAATTTTATAAAGCAAAAATAAAGAATAATTTGTATAAAATTTCTTGGCCAAGACAAGTATTCTATAAGTCTGACAAAGTCTTGTGAGACGACTTGAGCTCTGAGTTAGGAAGAAACCAATAAAGAATATTCAAAAGATTAAAGATCAGATGATAATTATAATAATAACAATAATATACAACTGAAAAACATATTTTAAAAGTGTTAAAATTGCATTGTTTTCTTACAAAACTTTCCTTTAACACTTTCAGCCATCAATATTATTTTGATTTTGTCTTAAAAATAGTGCAATATTTTTCATAGTGCAGGAAGCGTGTCCAGTGAGGCAGTGGGCCAGTTCCCCAGGATTGTGTGCTGCTGAATAGAGGGTTGGCTTGTGTGTGTTTTGGGGCTACTCCCTTTGTTTACACTCCCGACTGACGGAGGCCCAAAGGCGTTTGTCAGATTTCGTCGGACGTGTGTGAGTGTGGTTTTTGGTGGATTTACTCGAGGGGCATCAGCTTCTGCAGGGCTTAGGCCGCGCACACTACGAGCTGAAAGCGGAGCTGACGGCTGAGCTTATCCGCGGAAAGCTTATCAGCGATCGGAGCTTTGCAGCCGCGCACTGCGAGCTGAAGCTGATGTTGATTTGTAATTGTTTTTCAAGCAATACGTTTAAAAAAAACATATTTTAATTCTTGAATATTTTTAAAATATCGTTGTTAATGCGATGACATATTTATTTAGATCATCATGACATTTAAATTTTCGAAATCGGACCACCCAGTTCTCCAGAATATGGTTGACAAAGTACGTTTTTTAGTGTACTTTGGCACCCTGTATCTCGGAAAGTTGACAATATTTTTATTTTAATAAATATTAAAAAAATTCTTCATACTTTTCTATATAACTGGACAGAAATTTAAATTTCTGTTACTTAAGCGCTAATTAGGGCAATTTTTTAAAGAATAGTCTAAAAAATCAGCTCGCGTCAGCTGCTAACAAAATCAAACATGTTTGGTTGATCAAACAGAGCGGAGCGGAGCTGACCTTATCAGCTTTCAGCTCCGCTCTCAGTGTGCGCGCTCTCATACAAGTAGTGTGTTTGTTTCAGAGAGCTGATAAGCCGTCAGCCGTCAGCTCCGCTTTCAGCTCGTAGTGTGCGCGCGGCCTTAGCGCTAAAATGTGTGTCTACCTAGGCAGGTATGCCCGTCATATTTGTGAGTGTGTGTGTGAGTGAGTGTGCCTCTGATGGAATTTTAATTAAATACTCGGGTGTCTATGTTAATTTATATGCGCATATGCTTAGCCAGCCAGCCAGGCAGCCAGTCTGGCAATTCCATTTTCCATTTTCCGCTCTCCGCTCTTCATTCTGCATTCTTACCATTGATATGGCGACGATGGGACTGAGTTTTCGGTGGAGGACTCACCTTTGAAGTGGCTGCGCATGTTTGTGATTAAGAGCTTTTTGCTCCCGTCCTTGTCCTTAACTCAATTTCATTGTTTAAAATTTAATTATAATTTAATGCTTAGTAAGCACTATTTCTCGCATGAAATTCTCTCCCGGTGGCCCGTTTTTCCTCATGTTTTCGCCCTGGGTTTTCACCCCCTTCTCTCGGTTGCTGCGGTTTTCCTAGGTCGCTTTCTGCCAAAGCCACTTGATATTATCACGTCGCCGACTGTCTGTCTGTCGGACTGTCTGCCGGATCTTTCTGCCTTTGCCTGTGCCTCTGTTTTTGAATTCCCCAAGTTATTCGGTTTCGGTTTTTGGGCCTTTGTCTGGCCGAGATGAAACCCAAAACCGACTTGATATGGAAATAATTCGCTGCGTGGGCTTGGCTTTTTGGAATTCGCGTCGACAACAGATTGGCATTTTCACATCATTCCGGGCACAACTAATTACGGTTGAAAGGCAAACGCAAGAGCATTAAATTCTGGAATATATTTTAGATTATTTGGTAAATATAATTCATATTTGAAATCAATAAAGTAAAGAACAAAACGCTTTAAATTTGTCTGTATTTATTTTTCAAAAATATATATATTATTTAATAATCTCTTTCTCCTATCTATAATTTTTTGAAGCCTACAATCTCAACAAGTATTTTCCGGCCCGGGACTACTGCTACGTTTTGGTGTCCCAGTGTTGGTTTATCTTGTCCAGATTGGCCCTGCTGATGGCATGTCCTGGCTGGAGTTCCAAGGCCCTGTAATAGCACTCTGCCGCTTCCTTTCGGAGGCCACGCATCTGCAGGATGGCCCCCAGGTTGGCGTGAGCATGGGCCGCCAGCGGCTGCATATTGACCGCCTTTCGGTACCATAGCTCCGCTTCGACCAGGCGGTTTAGCAGGCGCAGTGCATCCGCCACGGAGGACTGTAGGACATAGTCATGAGGCGCCAAGGCGGCAGCTCTCAGGCGAAGGCTAAGCGCCTCCTGATAACGCTCCTGCTGTTCCAGGAAATCAGCTGGAAGAGAGGGTAATTCATAAATAATAAAATATATCAGGCATTTGCTTAGCTTATTTATCATTATATTTTAAGGCCTTACATAAATTATATAACTACTTACCATAATGATGATGTGAGCTGGCCTCCAAGGGTGCCAGCTGCAGGGCTCTTTTAAACCACATTTCCGCTTCCGCCAGCCGACTGCCCTGTAAGTGAGAGCCATTTATTATTAACCTTTTATTGATATTGACTTTTTGCCACTTACATTCCTGGCCAGCGTCTGGCCAAAGGTGACATATACTGCTCCCTGCTGTGGCTGGAGTTCCATGGCCAACCTCTGCTGATATTCAGCCTCATTCCAATGCTGCATCTCGGCGTGGATTTCGCCAAGACGCAGGTGCAGCATCGCCCTATGCTTTTGGGGCAGTGAGGTGAGAACATCTAGGGATTCTTTGAGCATTGATGCAGCCTCCTGAAGATGTCCCTCTGAGCGGAGCAGGCCACTCAGTTGCAGGTAACAGGTGTAGCGAGCCTCCTCGTGGGCCCCCCGATCCCGAACCCCATGTCCATCCAGACGGGCTCCCGTTCGGAGCACAGAGATGGCTTCTTGACGATGGTCGCCAAGGGACATTAAGGATATGCCCAGATTCAAATAGGCCACGGCCAGCTGAGGACGCAATTCAATGGCCCTGCGATAGCAGGAAACAGCTGAACTGAAGTTGAGTTGCCTCTGGTGCACCACGCCCCTAAAAGTAGGTAATAAATATATATAGTTAAGCAATAATACAATAGATAGTTTATGAAAAAGTAAAAGAAATACAAAACTTGATTCCCAACTTAAGGGCAACTACATTAATTTCCTACCCAGAATATATTTCAAGCTAGCCAGCTTAAATCCAAATATTTAAGTGATATTAAACTATTTTTTCTCTGAGGCGCCTTACATTTTTTTCTCAATCCAGCAGATGAACTGAACTTCAAAGAAATTTACTTTAGGAACACTCCTTGTAGTTCCTTACTCTCTGGGAAATTAAACAGGACAAAAAGCTGCAAAACCATAAAGAACAGAGCTGTGGAAAGCAAAGTTACTCAACTCGAGGACGAGAAGGGCTCTCTGCCTCTAGAAGTGTTGGGAGTAAATTAACTCTGCGTTTGCTTTGCTGCGGTTTCCACCGGCTAATTGCAGACGGCGGCAGCGACGGCTACGGCGCGAATACTTGAAAGCGCTGAATGCTGACCTTCAAGTTGATTTTGGGCGGCTTCATTTAATTAAGGAACCGCCCTTTTTGGTGGTCAAAGAAGGAGTCGGGATACTCCTTCACTTCCCAGCTTCAATTTGCTTGATTCACAAACAAGCATCGTCCGTTCGTCCATATGCATATAACCATTGTGTCGTCTGGTGGTTATTCATACATGACCGAATGTCTGAGCGCCCTAGCCAAACACATCGTTTTCGGTTTTACACAGAGAGAAAGCTAAGTCTTGGAAGCTAAAGCAATGAATTAAAATATAATAACAAAAAATGTAATACAATTGGAAAAATTAGAAGTAGTTTTTAAGATATAAAGAAATTTTTTGAATTTTATAGTGAAAGGTATTACTTATTTCTTCCTGTGCCTGCATGGCTAAATGCTTTTAAACAAAGGCAGCATTTTATTTTCAACAGTCCTGAAGAGTGTAAGCACAGATTGCACAGTATAGTAACTGCAACACCAGCAACGAGTTGCAACGGTGGCAGCAGCAACACAACAATATTATTCAAACAAACGGCAGCGCACTAGGATTTTGTGTTGAGTAGCGACAAGGCTATAAAATCAACAAGAGGGCAGATTGTAAAGACTTTGGATTGAAACACAAAAAAGAGCTTAGCTAAATGTCAAGTTAAAAAAAAAAATATATATGTTTTATGCGCTCGAGCTGGTAAACTGTGATGCCCAGAATTATGCAATTGTTGCACATGACTATGTAAATATGACTTGCAGCTTATTAGAAAATCACAGAAAATATTTTGGTTTTTGCCAGTAATAAAATATTTTTGTTTAATCCGGATTTGATGTGATTTTCGGTATAGAGATAGCTATTCTTATGAATTTTCGGGAGATTTAAAGCTATTAAATATTAACAATGGCAATAATTTAAAAAATCATATATAAGAAATGGAAAATAACCCTTATTAAACACTATTTTCCGAGTGTATGTATCTTAGGAAAATAATAAAGATCTTGGATTTAATTAAAATGTCAGAACCCTTTGTTTTTGTATTTAAAACATTTTAGACTCTCTTAAGTGACTCCTAAAATATTAATTTTTGAACATTTATACCCAATTTTAATTCCCAAAAATTTGCATATCGTACCCCTTGGATTCATCGATTAGCTTTTCGCCTCAGAGACACCAAAGGGAGAGGTGCGTGTTGTGTGTGTGTAAAAACTTTTCAATAAACACTCGCATATGCCGCAACATCGAAAGCTGAATTTGTTTAAATTTTATTTTCGTGTGAGTTGAAGTTTGGCATTCAACATTCAGCATTCCATGTTGAAAACCCCTCGTTGCCCACAATTTCGGGCGATTTCCCCATTTGCAATCCAGAATAAAAAAGGGGGGAATAAAATAAAATAAACCCGAAAAAAGGGAACCATGTGAATGCATGCGAATTGCAACCGAACAACGGATGGATTTGCTCAACTGAATATTGAGTATTCTATTTTATACTATTCCCGTCATGTTGTTCTATTTCTATTTGTTTTTGTACTATTTTTTTGCTTTTGTGCAGGTAAGCAAACAGCAGCAAGAGCCACCACACAGGATGAGTGCAGGGCTTGCGCTGAAGGGGTGGAAAAAGAGAAATCGAATTATACAGCTCAGTGATTTTTTGGTTTTGGTGTTTGCCTGCCTGTTACTTTGACTTCCCGCCGCCTGGCATCACTACCCGCATCTCTGCATCCTGGCATCCACATCCACCCACCACCACTCAACTTATCCTTTGCTGTGGCATTTTGCAGCTAAAAATCAGAGCGGCATCAGCACGGCAGCACAACAAATCCATGACAGTTGACTGGCGCCCGGCTAGACTCCTTGCCGAGGACCAAAAGGAGCAACAGGAGCTGGAGCCGGAGCTGTGGCTGCTGGATGGATGCTTTGTGTTCCGGGCGGTGGCACGTGGCAGAATACGGGATCCGTAGCCGCAGGGCGCAAGGTGCTCGGCCGGAGATATCCCGGCTATTGATGGCTTACGAGTAAATAATGTACAAACAGCTGCTTATCCGCGACGCACCCCGGCAAGTTTGGGGAGACAGAGAGGGCGCTGAAGGGCACCTGGCATTGATTTTCGATTAGAAAACGGAAAATGCTACCACACCTCTACCACCCGCCGCCAGCAGCCATCGCCAGCCATCACAATTTCACAGCTTGGCAAGCTCTTAAAGCTTTCATAATGTACATGCTGCAATCGCCTTTTCTGACTTTCAGATTAGCCAGCTACTGGCACTGAAAGAAAATCCTTATGGCAATTTTAAAGTATCTAAAAACTATTAGAATTGCAATTAAGGTAACTATAGTAGATCTGAAATAAAATAGTTATAATAGCTATGTATATCTATAATGCCTAGTCTTCTCCACAAGTTTATGGCACTTCTTTGCTCTGGGTCAAGTCCTTCCCATTTTACCAAAGCCTTTAAATAATATTTAATCTAGAAAATATTCACTTAATATTTTTTAAAGTGCACCTAAGACAGAGGCCATGTAAAAGAGGCTGCCACTGCCGCTCCTGCTGCTGCATTTTGCAAGTGGACAAGGCAAAAATTCAATCAGACAACTTTTCGATAAGCTGCAAAGGCAACTCTGCGAAGGCGGATGGAAAATGGTAAAAAGCGAGGAAAATGGGGTGGCGAGAAAAGCGTTTTAAACTTTCACGGCACTAAAATGAAATCTCTGCGTGGGCTTCCCTGTAGCTCCATGGTCCGGACTCCGGAACCCAGAGGCCGCTGTGCCGGCCAAGGGATCCCAACGTCTCGTGTATCGTTTTGAGCCAAGTTAATAACCTGCAGGCGAGAAGCCTTAGCAGTTATGAAGTTCGCGCTTTGCTTTTATGTCATTGACATTATTTGAAATTGTATCTAAGCCGTCAACAGTTATATTTTTTCTTTCTGCTTTTTGTATTCCTCTTTTCTTTTCTTTGGCTTTTGCTTTCATATTTTTTTTCTCATAGCGGGATAAGGAGAAGGATATTGTGGTGCAAGAACAATGCTCCTTAAGAACCAGTTACTTAATTAAGGTTAACCCACTTGAAATTGAATTTTGAGTAGCTCATAAAAGTGGACTAAAATTAATTACAATAATCTCTTAAAAGATTGTTATTAATTTATGTATTAAGCAAACATTGGAATAATTCTCATAAATTCCTTAAAAACATTGAGTATTAGAAATTGTAAATCCTTTAGGCGCTTTGTGCAAAGCTTCTTTAATAATCTGCTGGATATTATACAGTTTTCTTCCTTTTTTTTCTCTCTATCACATTTCATTGAGCAATAAATGAAATATATTTTAAGCCTTTTTCGGTTATTGTTAGAATATTGTGCAGTCATAAAAAAATAGCCTGCCCAATATACTGTTCAAAATAATCTTCAATATGAGCATTAATACGCCAGTTGCCCATAAGCTGATAATCCCTGTGTATATATACATACATATACAAATAGTATAAGCATTTACACTTCAAATGGGAAACCATACAAAATGTGCAATTTAAAGAGGCTTTTTCGGAAGCGTCGCGGGTAGAGCAAATCGTTCTGTTTAAATATTTACTTAAATGAGGAAAAACAGAATTACTGCATGGAGCTTCCAAGGGAAACAAAGCGATTAATGCACTCACTGCCTCGTATGTTTTTGCATAGTTTTAGCATTCATTTTCTGCAACGAACGGATGACGGAATGTGTATATGTATGATGATTATAATGATAATGAGGTAGCTCCCCAGCTGCCGCCATTGTCCGTAGCTCTCGGGAGTTCTCAGCAATTATTTGTATTGGACCCCGTTCACTTTGCCTTTTCTTTTTTTCCTTGGGATGTAAGTTTCCCTCCAAAGGGAAGCTGGAAAAATGACTTGGCAGGAGGGCGAAATGGGATTTACCTACAATTTGTCAAAAGGAAGCAAGGCGAAAGGATTTATACCATGCGTCTTTTGCTCTCCTTTTTTGGAGCGTAAAGCCTATTATGCCAAACACAATAATCAACAGCCAGCACCCAAGCGATGGGCGGCAGCAGCGACAACAATAACGCTCTCGCACCAGCAACAATACAGAGAACAGGGCGTATGAGCAATGGCTGCTTGGCTGGCAAGGACACTAAGGCGAGTGCGAGGCCAGCTGTGGAAATGACGTCCTGCATATTCAAAGGGAGTTCAACAATCACACAGCCTTTGCCACAGTGGACGTCAAAGTTACTTACTATGACCTTAAGAACTTTTTTAATAATTGTTACTACTTCAAAAATCACTCATTAAATTTTGTATTTAAGAGGACTGAATATAATTTAAATATTAGGTATTTTTTTTAAAGCAAATTGACTCGTTTCTCCTTGTTCTAGTGAAGTTCAAGTGAAAATCTTAATGACCGCCGCGTGTCTTGTGACAAGCATTTCCGCTTCCGGTCCCATGGTGCCCTTCGATGGGGTGTCGAGTGCGATTCGTTAAGCGTTGGCATGTTTGCGCTTCCCTCGTAATGCATGGCACTCCACTTTCCCTACTGCATTCTCGCGCAAAGCTGCAGCATGCTGCCCAAATCTCGGGGGGAAAAGGGGCAAATGAAGGCGTGGCAGGGAGCAACTTCAGCTCCACTCACAGCGTTCTCAGTTGGCGGTCGCCGTTAGCGTCGATGCAACGAGTAAATTGCACTATGACTATCCAAAGCTGCCCCCGTAATGCCCCAGTGTGTGTGTAGTGTGTGTGCGAGGGCTCGAGTGTGCCTGCTGTATGTCCAAAGTGGAAGTGTCATTGGCCTCGAACTCAGAACAAAAAAACACTGGATCAAAAGCAAGTACCAAGTGAGGGCTAAATATTTTTAGAACTTTAAGAAAAGTATAAATCTTTAACTGCCCAGAAATTATAACTTTAGTATTTATAAAATATATATTTTTTTATTTTCTAATGAAATACCTTTTAAAACTTGAATTTTCTCTGAGTGCGGGGATAAGCAGGATGCCAACGTCATGCGTCAGCAGTTTTATTTTCTCATATTGTTGCATCAAGTGCAGCTTGTAAGCAGAAATGCCAATTTTTTCTTTTGTTGCTACTATTTTTTCCATTCTCATTCCTATTACAATCCCAGATATGTTATTGTTGCCATGTGTGTGTGTATGTGTGTGTGTGTTTGCACAGGGCATTATATATGTCGGGGCTTTTGTTTATTTATTGTGTTAGACAAGTGAAATGGTTTTGGAATGCCGAAGAATGCAATTGTCGCAGCTGCTGCTTTATTGCACTGATGTACGTGTTCGACTTGGAGAGAATAGATGGCAGACAGAATAGGATAGATTACTTGAATTACTCGGGGCATAAATTAGGAAATTTTAAGGCCTTTATATTTTAACAAGTCTCCCAGAACCCCATTTAATGTTGCGATAATACTCTAGCCAGCCAAAGTCCAATCAGTTCAACTCCCTTTTGAAATGGAACATGTGCACCGAATGAAAATTACAACTCCATGTGTACTTAGCCTCAGCCTGCGGAGTCCAAGTATCTCGAAGAATCAGAACGCTGGCCGGAAACCCTTTCAGTTTTGGCCTAATTAACAGCATATCTGCAGGGGATTAGGCTGCGGAGTGCCTCTTGCATTCATTTCCACTCGTATTGTTTCAAAGGCTCCAAAAGGTACAAAAGCGGGACAACAGGAAAAAAAGGACATCGTGGTGGGGGGGATGGCGTAGTGGGCGTAGCTCGTTGTGGGCGTTGTGAGGTAGCAAAAGATGAAAAAAAAAAAAGGCAGCAACCAGCAGCTATTTGCTGTTGATGGCTGCCGAGTGCATGCAAATTGCCATCCAAAAGATGCAAAACATGTGCCCCCTGCGCTGGAGCTAAAGTTTCTGACCGAGTTGATTTGTATGCGCGATGCAACTGGGCAGTCGCCCCCATTCCATACCCCCTTTTCCGCAGCCTTTCACCCAGTTTTCAGTCCCCTCCCCACCATTTTCGTTGCATTTCCTTCTTTTTTTTTTCTCAGATGTTGTCCGAACGTTTTTGCTGGCAAACGGAAGCGAGAACAGAACAGAACGGCACCAGGAGGAGCAGCTGGAGCTGCCTCTGCTGTTCGGAATTAAGAGCAGCAGCCCCCACCCCCTAAGCCGCAGGAAAAGCCATGGCCAATACCTAAACCCAACACCAAGGTCGCGACAACCATTCACTTTGAGCTTTTGAATTTTGAAAAGGCTGCCGGCAAAAACCGACATCATTTTGTGGATTCAGGTTTCGTGTGGGGGTGGCAGCTAAGGCGCGAATTTCCCCTCGATTTCCAAAAAGGTTTTCGCGTTTTTCCACTGGGCACCACCACATGCTCCGCGGGAACGTTTACTTACAGATTAAAGTGCGCGTCGGCCATAGTGGGACGATGTCTAAGGGCCGTGGTGAGGGCCCGTTCCGCCTCCTGATACCTTCCTTGGGCGCTTAAAACGCTGCCCAGGTTCCCCAGAGCTGGAAAATAACAGAAAATGAAAGTTAGCTAGTTTATTTGAAAAGTATATGTAAATATTTAACCTAAAATTCCTCAAAGAGGTGGAGATTTGCAAATAAATTGCTCAAATTACTCATACGCCCTGTAATCCAACTGTAGATGCATGGAAACTGACAATTAAAATGAGTTCACATAACTATGAACTAAAATTGTCAAGAGTAATATGAAGTTGAAGTAAGGTTATTTTTATTTACACATTAAAGTTATAGATTTCTTTCAAATATTACTCATACGTCATGTAATCCAACCCCGAAAACATGTTTTATTTATATGAAAACTAGTCTTAAATATTCCCCTGATAATCCATAATAAAATAATATGTGAACACTCACCCTTCGGGGGATTTACGCTGATTGCACTACGAAATAGCTGCTCCTCATCCCGCCAATCCAAATTGCGTCTGACGGTGCGAAGGCAATGGACTCCAAGGAGCAGCCCCAGGCCGCAGAGAAGCAGTATCCGGGATCGCCGAGAGCCATGAACCCTTTGCCACACACTGCCAAAGCCGTGGCCAAGGAGCAGGCAGTAGCCCACACTCGGTAGGTAGAGCACCCTTTCGGCCATTACAAATCCCACGTAGAAGAGCAGATTGCTAGCGGGCAGGAATGGCAGCACCAGGAAGGCAACGCTCACAAAGGCAGCTGGCGAAGCGGAGGAGGCGGAGCTCTTGGGGGCAGGATAATAGCTTGAAGCCGATCTCGCATGCTCCGACACCTGGTGGTGGTGGTGGCTGTGGCAATCGCAGGTGAGGCGCAGCCATGTGTGGCAGCTATTGCCACCCAAATGCCGAAGGAGAGGCAGGGATATGTTGGCCACTTCCGCAAAGTCCATCGAGGAAGTGGAACGACGCAGGCCAGAGCTTCGCCAAAGCACTGCAATCAGGGAACCGTAGAAGCCGATGCTCAGGATATTTCTTGCATCCCAGAGCGTTGTGATCCGTGGCACCGCTTCCATGCCCCAGTCGAAGCTCAGGTCCTGGGGCCACAAAAGCAGTTGGAAATTGGCCACAGGCAGGTACATAAAGGTCAGGAATCGAGTCCAAATGCAAGAGTCATGAGCCGATGGATTGTCTGCGACTGAAAAGGCTGCGGAAGGACGCGGTAGGACACTCAGGCGACAGTACAGGGCACACAACAAGGTGACACTTAAAATCGAGAGAGATCGCAGTCGATGCTGGAAAGAAATGAGGGAATATTTTTTAGGTTTTAATTTTGAAAATTTGTATGTTGCAAGATTTGTTATTGTTGAATAAGATATTTCAAGTAATTAAATTTTATAACTCACCTTGTCAGTATTTTCCCTGTTAATTGCCGACATCACGTCGCACAATCCGCACAGTAGCAGCGCCGTGATAGCCGTCTCCTTGCAAAGCAACGCGCCCAAGGCGAGGACAATGGTGAGAGCCAGGGATCCCCATTCCCGGCTGAGCATGTGCCGGCGATAGGCGAGGTAGGCGAGCAGGTAACACACACAAGCCACTACATCTGCCCGTCCCACCAATCCGGCCACTGCTTCCGTATGTATCGGATGGGCGGCGAAAAGCAGGCCGGCGGCCAAGGATCCAACTCGAAATGGCAAGAGCGTATGGCCAACGAGCACCACTAGTCCGGTGGCCAAGCAGTGGAGAAGCACGTTGACCAGGTGATAGCCAACGGGGTTCAGTCCGCCCACCAGGAAATTCATTCGGAAGCTGAGCACACTCAGCGGACGCCAGGAGCCGTGCGAGCCGCTGTCCAGCAACGGAGTGCCCCAGAAGTCATTCCGCAGAAGATGAGACAGTGGCCGAGCTGCCGTCACGTCTCCGTTGGCCAAGATGGCGCGTCTGCAAAAGGAGATGGAAAAAAGGAATCATAAAGAAACAGGGTAAACGAATTTAAAGGTTAAATATAATTTCAATACAAAATTTGAAAAAAAAAATACTGCTTCGTTTGTATTAAATTTTAAAATATATATTGTTATCACAAAAATATTTTTGAATTAAGGAATTTAAAGTTGGTTTAAGGTTCTGCCATATTCTTCAAGTGTTATTGTGGGTGTGAAAGGGCTCACATTACTTCAGTTACTGATAGCAGCAGACAGCAACCTGTGGCACACCTGTCCAATTAATTAAAATGATTAATTGCAAGGCCCGGAGTATCTCGCCGGCTACCTTGGCTCACCCTCTATTCGTGCTATCTACCACCAAGAGGGCAATTCTGCTCAACTTGACTGGATTCATCTCGGCTTTCCTGCTACACGAAACTTGAGAGCCTCAAATTCTAAGGGACCTAAGCCTGTGGTCCTATTTATTTTGCTTTTACTTAGATTTGAGAAAACTCTGAAGCAGGGTATATGGGTTTATTTAAGGATTATGAAAAATAATGTTTTATAAGGGAAGTAATTAGTTGGATATAACTTTAATCACAAGTTACTCGACTATTTACCAGATTACACAGATATTTTATGTTAAGAAAATGGTGTAGTGTAGCTTATCAGCCTTATCAGCGTATGCTTAATATATATTTAAATACTTATATTCGAATTATTTATAAATAAAAATAATATTATCCAGTTAAATCCCTTATTGTTGCCTTTAAGGGTATTCAAAAGCCTTTAATTTTGATTGTTAACATTTTCAAAGCCTGCTATTTTTATTGTCCTTTTGTTTTTGCACTCGGCATAAATATTGTTAAAGTGCCAAGCGACAGTTGACCAACCCCCCCGTTCAGCTCCACCCCCTTCCGTGCACTTGCGGCTTGATTAATTGCCGATTTGTTGGCGTATTTTGTGCTTTTGTTGTTCAGCAGGACACAAATACACACACTCAGACACCCACACATAGAAACACGAACATTGTCATTGTGTTGTAGTGGACGACGGGTCCTTGGTAATTGCCTCACCGTTGTAGCGCTCCTTGTTGTCCTAATCGATTTGGCCGGCACGGCACAGTGGCACCGGGTCGGGTCAGGTGAGAGGCAGAGCCGTATAATCAGGATCAGGGCTAGTTTGTTATCGGCGTTGTTTGTGCGATTGCTGCACAGTTTGCGGAAATTTATGGTGGGCTTGCAATAATACCCCGGCCATTTTATGCATAATTAGTTTTTAGATGTATCCAGTAAATGTCATTAATTAGCTTTCTAGTTTAAGGGAAGGGGTTTCCTGCTGGTATTTGTAGGGGTTAGTGTTATTTAAGGGACCTTTTTTCAAGAGGAAAAATAAGTGAAGTTAGAAGAAACCGAAAGAAAAAAGCTTACAAGCTTTGCTAAGGTTTTTTTTGATATTAATTTAAAAATACATAATACTTTGCAGACTAAAAAACAAATTTTTTTTAGAGAATTATAATTACAGATTTGATAAGAAGACTTTTAAACTGATGTGGAATTATTTAATATTTTATATTTTAAAATCAGATTTAATTGTGCTTACATTTGCGGTATTTAAGCGTATTTAAGAAGTGTAAACGATTTTTGTGTTCCAAGTAAATATTTTTCTAACTTAATATCTCGTATTTAATTTGAATAAACAGAAAGTCTTTCGGACTATTAAAATTTTACATCCCGAATTGTTATAGCAAATTAAATTCATTAAATTTCAATGAAATATATTTAATTTATTGAACCAAATAATGTATTGAACTTCATTTGATTGCGCTCACTTAAATCAACATTTTCGGGCATATTAAAAAGCGTTTGACTTCATTTTCTGAATTGAAAATTAAATGTCGGCTTGTTAAGTAATCAAGTTATGTGCAGAAATATTTACTTTAGCTTTTTGCTGCCTCGGGCTGTAGTTTTAGGGTCTTTCGGGTGTACAAAAGTTCAAAGGTTATGCAAACAAAATACATATCCGCCGTAGCCCCGGGTCGAAAATGGCAGGTTTTTTGGGGGAGAGGATGGGAGGATGGGTGGTTAGACTCCAAAGAAAAGTCATCTGCAAACACACACATAAGTTAGAAAGCATTTTGAATAAAAATTCGGTTTTCAATTTAATATTTTATTTATCATTCGACGAACGCCACGTGGAATGGGTGACCGGAAATATGAATTGTGGCAAGGTTTATTGCACGTGTGCCAGTGCGGGTGTGTGTGTGTGTATTCAGGCAGCTCTTTCAATGCCAGAAAATGGTAATAAAAAGGATGCCAAGTGTGGAGGTTGGTGTTGCCACAAATTGGGTTTACAAATTCGCCAGAGAGACGTGCCCAACTATAAAGCAAGGTTATTGGCAAGGACCAGCATCGCTGAATGGTTTGCGGGGTTGCCAGGGGAAAGGGCGTGCGGAAGGCACACTCATCTACACTTCAATTTCAATTGGCATTCCAAGGGATCCCACACTCTGCTCCGTTTCCCCTTAGCCGATCCTTTCAGTTTGCGCCAAAGCAGCCACAAAAATGTCGTTGCGAGCAAACAAATTCTTATCGGAAGGGCACAAAGCAAAAGTCCTGAACGCAGATGAAGGAGCTGCCATGTTGGGAAGAGCCCGCACGGTATTCACACTTGTGGTCAAAATAATAATCGGGAAGTACAAATATAATCAAATAATTCAATGTTTAAGGTATACTCTTCGGCTTCGGATATATTCCTAAGTAAAAGCGATATAATTATTTATATATTCTTGTGATTCTACTACCCTAACCATTGCTGTATGACTCTGAATGCCTTTGGGCTGCGTAATGCACCTTCTATTTGAAGCTGGTAAGCATTTACCCATCCTCCTTTTCACCAAAAACGAACCGAAAATTGTTCTACGCCTCATTTCCTAGGCTTTCCGAAGGTAGTGGGGAAATATTGAAAAGAAATTTCATTGCATACCTCGAGGCCAATGCACACACAGCCACACATAAAGTCGTAAAGTCGTGTATTTGCCAAGGCAGAACTAGTTCTTCGCTGTGTGCTATGCAGATGGGCTTGATACGGGGCAAAAGGGTCGAAGTTGTCGCCGTCGTAAGCGTCAACATTATCGTCATCAGCAGAATTTCCGCAGTTCCCTTTTTTGTGCTTTATCATCGTATAGCTAGTGAATGAATAGCAATAGCGAGGCCGACAACCAAAACATCAACACCCTCGAATGGCAACAGCCACAACACCAACAACGCCACTTTGTCAGCGGCAGAGAACAGTAACAGCGAGGAGTGGAGGGGGATATGAGGAGGCGGTAAGATGTCAGAGGTCAGAAGGCAGCAGCAGCAACAACAATGGCCAGGCTTCAAGCAGCTTACAAGTGCGGCATGTTGCTGCCGTTATCGTTCGCTTTTCACTCTCAACTCGAGCAGAGGAGGCCAAAGACAGGATCAGGAGCAGGAATAGAAGCAGTAGCAGGAGCAGAAACAAGAGCGGAAGGAGCAGGAAGTAGAGGACCTGTACTAGCAGAGACTCAGGCAATCGAGGAAGAACAGCCACAACACACATGGTGAACAGTGGAATACAGGGTTTTATTAACCAAAATTTGACTACAAATTAATTGTTAATTTTTTTTACCATTCAAAAACTGAAAATTAACTTAATTTTTTATTAAATTAATTATTATAATAATTACTATATGCATTTTGTGACTTTTTATGAGCCTAAATCCTTACAGATCCTAGTAATATTTTCAGCTTCCTCTCCACTGTGAGCCTCACCTCACATGCTCCCATAAGTACTGGGGAAAGCAGCAGACAAACAGGGCTGCGGTTGGCTTTTGTTGAAGACAATATATCATAGCATCAGCACCGAATGTGGACACCACATTCCTGCCATCCTCCCATCCCACCTTCATGGCTACCCACAACACACACCATTTGTATGTGTTGTGCTTATGTAAAGTGAAAATTTTCGATTTTTTATACACAACACAATGAAAAAAGAGCACAAAATTCTGTTACTCTGGCTGGAGAACACAACACACAACATCGGTACACCTCGCACACCACACTCAAACACGCCCCGCCCACTGCTGGGAAGTGTGCCTATCGTCCGATGGTTGTGTGCCATCAAAATTACGTATACGTAACGTTGTTGCTGCTGCTGTTGATTCTTTACTGCCGGTGTTGCTGTCCTTTTAATACGGCACATAAATTATTGTAAGACTGCAGATTGGGGGATGTTTGGCAACATTTTGTTACGGTTCGCTCTTTTCACATTTTTTTTTGTTGGTAAAATGAAAATATATCAAGTTGTGAAGGTGTGAATATCAGGTGACCAACAATGGTGAAAAATCTGCTTTAAAATATTAAAGCTTAAAAGTTTAAATGGCCAGAAATAATTCAATAGTACAAACAAGACCATTCACTGATCGGATGTAAGCACATCCCATTAGTTCAATTATTGGGGAAACTTGTTCCGTGAAACACTCGATCAAAAGCTGCCAAGCATAACTTATTAAAATCTCATATCTCTCCCTAACAATTGCCAGCAACAGAGATTCCTTAATGCCGAGACATGGCAACGATAGCTCCCCCTCATTCTTACCCATTCCCAAGCCCATTGCCCAGCCAAAGCCAAGCCATTGCTCTTTTTCCAGTTGATAGGAAACAAATTGAAGGGAATTCTGCCATTTAATAAATCATGTTTTGTCTGGCCTGGCTTGACAATAATAACTTGTGCTCGTGTGGTCACAGTGGCCATGTTGTGGGATGACCGCAGGACATGCGAAAGGACCAACCGATAGGTGGGCACCAGAACTTGCACCGAGACAAAATCCTAGCAGTGTTTTATTCCAGTTTATTTAATTAATTTTAATTTTAGTTTTGTATAAAATTATAAGTCTTCTAGATTCTCTTAGCTTTCCCAGTAGTTTTCTAAATTCCAATGGCTTCTCTATTTAATTTTTAATTAAACAGAAGCCACTTTCATGCGTTATAACAAAACAATGACTTTATTTTTTAGTTTTCCCATTTCCTCCTGTGTAGGACGAAGGTCCTGTGCTCCAACTGGTGTTGGCAACTGCGTGAAAGTGACCGCAGGAGCTTCCGCCCAAGCAAAAACATAAACTCGCACACAACTTTTTCGAAGGCAAAAGGGGCGGCCGAGTTACATAAGTTGCGTTTATTATTTTCGTGTGCGCGTGGTGTGTGTTTGTGTGTGTCCTGGCAAGTTTTGCGCTTGTTTTCTGGACAGCACAAAATAACGAGCTACAGCGAAAGCTCCGAGCTGAGCACTTTCTGCATAACTTGGCCAGATCCAGAGCCAGAGCCAGAGCTAGAACCAAGACCAATACCCCACCTTAAGTCCTGGCAATTGTTCGCCGGCCATTGTAGTTGAACCGGGAGCAGTAACGGGAGTCACTTGTTCGCCGGAATGGTCAGAGGAGAGCTCCTGACTCCACGCTGCTCCTGACTGCTCACTGCTGACTGCTGACTCCTGGCCGAAGGGCTAGACCATTGTATATATGGAGCTTGTGGTCCTTGGGGAAATTCCTGTCCATTGTACATGACTTTTGATATTTATGGGTAATTTCGTTTGCGTTTGCAGCATTTCAATGCGGCCAGGTGAGGAGCGGCGGCATAAATCAACATTTTGTTTTTTAATTTGCTCCGTCTGTGACTCTGACTCTGGCTGTGACTGTGACTCTGACAATGGCGTTGGATCCGCCGCATATATATCAACAATGCCCAGGCGATAAGCCGGCAACTGGTCCGCTTCAAGTTTTACAATTAGGCGGGGCCCAGAATTTATTACGGCGATTTTATCAAATAAATGGCGGCACTTGGCGCACAATTAATAATAAACTTTTGTATTTTTCGCTGCCCTTTTTTACGCTCTTCGGGGACCGATCCGGCGACAAAACATAGCTTTTGGCCATATAAACGGAGCAAGGGAACACCAAAATGTACCAGAGGACGAAGGACCAATGTCTCGACACTGGAGAGACTCGCAGCCATTTACCTTCGTCAACGTGCTGACATATGGAATTTTTAATTCGGTTAAATTTTTCTCACCTGTCATCGTAGACAAATCCAGCGTTAAGTGTGTTTAGGTACAGGACAAAAGCCAGCGCCGAGCAGCCGGCGAGTCCTGCGTAGTCCTTGGGCGACAGGGACGTGCTGCAAAAACGAGACAGACAGTCAGACAGACGAATGTAGTGGCCGGGGCATAAATATAAAAGTCGAGTGTCATAAAATATATGCTGAAATTCATTCTCGAAGGCTTCTCCTGTAGCAACGGCAATGGCAACAAACGGAGAACAAAGCACTTAATCCTGACTGAGGCAGGTCGTCTTCCTCGTCCAGATGGGCCTTTCTCTGCGGCATTTTCGTTATGACAACATTTACATATTTTCCTTTTTTATACTCTGCCGCTGCTGCTGCCATTGCCTTTGCTGTTGCTGTTGGTGATGCCTTAAGCACGATTTAATTACTTAATTTTTTAGAATATTCAAGGTGGGCGAAATTCCAAATTGTATAAATACATTTAAAGGGGAGAATTTCTTCAGCTTAATTATTTATTCAGGAATTCATAGCATGTACTTGGTATTTAATGTGTGTCACTTTAATTCAAAAAGCGGCCTTTATTTGCACTCGAAACAGCATTTATTTAATTAGTAATTCATTGGAACATTTGAAAAAGAACTAGTTGATAAATGCATTATTTAATTAAGTCGATTTGGGTAATTTAAAACTGTTTTTTCATCTCTCTGCTATGAATTTAAAGCATATAAATCATTTAAAGCTGAAGTATTTCGTTTGATTTAAATAAAAGTTGATCTTTTTATGAATTTATTTTTAGTTCAAAGCCTTTAAAATTCTACAAATGTTAAAACGAAATATTTATGATTGCCATGATGAGTTGTTATATACATTTTTTCTCTGAGAAATTGCTTTATATTAATCTAAAAGCACCTTCCTTCCTTCAAATCACATATTTTTGGAGCACCTGAAGCAACCCCCATTTGATGGATGGAATTATCTCAGTCGCCGTGCGCAATCAGCAATCAAAACTGTTGAATGCATACAAGTCCCAACGATGATGCACGTAGCTAATGATTATGACCGGGAACGGAGTGGAATAGCTACGGCTGGACAAATGCCATCATCAGAACCATCCCCAATGCCATTGTCGTCGTTTCGGTGGTCAGCGTGTCTGTTCTGGTGGCTCAACCCGTTTGTCGTGGCATTCTTCGTTTTATATTAGCCGCAGACATGTTGTGTTTACGTGGGGCTCTCTCTCCCCCGGAGACCCAGAGTCCCGGCGTTCCAGATCCCTTAGTATCCCGGATTCCAGCGCCCCCGCCAAAACCAGTTGACGGAAATTAAATGTTACGACGGCATTCTGGATCGTCCTGTCCGGCAAAACACGGAACATGCAATACGGGAATACAAGCTCTGAAATGCAGAATACAGCAATGGCATTCCCATTGTAATACTCCTTCCCCCTTGGCACTGCCGTTGCTGGATTCCGGAATCGGGGCATCAGTCCGCCGCTCCTCATCTGTTTTCGCAGTGGTCGCCGGAGGTGGTGTTGTTGTCATCATCACCATCAGCACCATTACGAATAATGAGTGTGGCTTCTGGGGGTGGGTGGGGTTTTTCCCCACTCACTGCGTAGTCGCCTTGGTCATGGCATGAAAATTGTTATCTCGCACATTGCAGACGATTTCCGGCAGGCATTTGGACCACGTATGCACACAGACGGGAGGCTAACGCGACTGCGACTGTGACTCCGATCCAGATTGGGATTCTGATGATGGCGGAAGGTCAACAGAAATTAAGTTCGCACCGTTTGAAAATTACAATGGCGCCAGAGCAAATGGGAAATGTAATCCTTTGTAATCAGACTTAAGGATATGATACTAGACTTCGAAATAGAATATTTTAACAATTTAAAAACTCTCATCCAAGTGCTAAGGATGTTTAACTTTGTTTTGTTAAATATTAATTATTACGCAGTTATTATTTTTGTAGTTTTTGGAATATTAAACCTTCTACTTTGAAAGTGCTTTCTCATATCAAGCATTTTACTTTAATTTTCCTTTACTTTAATTAACAAAATTGTTCTCAAGCAGGATAAGATCCTCCTCCTTAAGCAACTCAACAATGCTATCTTTGTATAATGCTAATACTCTTGTTTCTATGGAGCCCCCAAAATGCAGGCAGAAGCTAATAAGAAGCAACCGATTTTGGTTCAATCAGGAGCCATAAGCCCCTGGAACCAAATTAGCTGGCATTCAATAGCCCAGTGAGGCCCCATCTTATTCAGATCATCCACCCTTTTCCCTTTGGTCTTGCGAAGGACAACACTTAGGCCCAACACACACACACTACACACAGGCGAGGCGTAACCAATACCCCAACATTTCTCTTCCTCTTTCGGCTTCGCAATGACGCTGCTAATGAGCTCTAATAACGATAATGACGACCACGCAAATAGTAAATATAAATACACAAGCTTATATATGGAATATGTTCATATATATACATACGTCTGCGGGTGGGACCAATGAATGGCCCTCATTTGGGGGCATGATAATGGGTCCTGGCCCTGGGGAGATGCAACTGATTGGCATTGTCGAGGATGAAAGCGATAGTTCGCCGGAATATGCCTCTTAAATATAATGATTTCCCAAAAAATGCCAAAGTGATTTTCGTGGAAGAGGGAAATGCTAACGACAGCTGATGAGTGCCTATGCAAACTCATCAGTATCAGTTTTGGTAGCAGTATGACAGGAAATTTATATACATTTTATTTAAGGGTTCATGCCTAAGTTTTCTATTTTGGTAGGTCTTCATCTTTTCTTTATAAAAATATATAATAGCTCAGAGATATGCATTATTTAAGCTCATGTTTCACCATTATAAAATGTTCCATCCCCTGAACAAATATATTTTATAATAATTCCGTTTCATCCCTGGAACAAAAATGGCTGTCAAAGCACCATAAAGCCCACCATAGCCACAAAAGAACAAATTAATTAAATCATTTTAAACATAATTCAAACCAATTTAAATATGTATCCGCTCCATAGGCATAAGCCCACCTCTCCACAGCGCCCTAATGACATCCCCTAAATCCCGTAATTCCCTCTCGATACTTTAAATAAGCGCTTTAATTAAATTTATTGATTTTTGCATTTTAAGCTTTCGGTTTGTTTCGCCTGCAGACAGACTGTGAGCTCGAGGCATTTACTCAGCCGCTGTCGTCAGTGTTTTTTCGGAAATTCGACGACAAACTTAACCCCGACAGAGCAGACGCCGCCAGGTGTTGGGCAAAAGTTGGAAACAAAGCGCAGACAGGACCTCCTCAAGCAGCGCAATTAATTTCGATTGTCGAAAATAAAGCGAGACAATCACGGGGACGGCGGCGAGAACTGGGAGCGTCAAAGTATATATATTAATCAAATGGCGCCATAGACGAGGACAGCCGGAAGGGCGGGGTAAGGCGAGGACTTTGAGTAGCGCACCCTCCAGACGCGTCCTGTCTGCCGACATGAAGAGGCCTCAAGGTCCTAACGAAAGTCGTCCCGTCCTCCACACCGCCGCCTTCCTAAATTACTTTGCTAATTTTCCTGTGCCATCTGTCCTTGCAGCGCCACTGTCTATGTCCCCCACATACACTTGAATCCCCTTTGAAGGACTCGCTTGAAAAGTCAAAGTGCAATTAGCTAGCAGCTGCGTTCTTCTTTTTTTTATGAGTACAAATATTTATTTTCAATTTCGTATGCAAATGTCACAGCCACGTAGCGTTTCCTACATTAATCACAGCTGCACCCACGTTGTTCTCAGTGGACGATGATGTGGCGTGGGAGCAGAAAAAATAATTAGGTTGTCATGTTTACGGCGCTGAAATTAGCTGGCAGTATCGGAATGGCACATCTTTGATGTTGATCTCGGGGCAGGGCAAAGTAAGTATTCGAAAAAGGCGGAAATTTCCATGACTTTTCACTTTTCCACCTTGCCTTTTTGCCCGTTATGAAACCAGCTTTCGAGTTGACCTTATTTCTGGTATGCACAGCTAATAAAATGAAATGTTATAAAATTCAATTTGTAGAATTTCATTTTCAAACCCGGAAAACATTTCAATTAAAAACTTATCTTGATTTGATGCAACTTTTATAGCTAAGAAAATTTAGAAAAGAATTGTGACATCGACTTGCATTTTTGTCCTGTGTAACTGAGACGGAAATTGCAGCAAATACAGGCACAAGTACAAGCGCAGCACACCTTAAACCGGAAGCGGAAACATTATTCCCAAAATGTCAAAAAACATAACAGAAAGCCATTAGACACACTTTTGTTTCTGGGTCAGCCAGCAGACTTCCCGACTTCCAAAAGTGAAACTCGGGAAAGGAAAAAGCCAAAATTGTCTGAGGCCCGGGTGGCAAAAAACGCAAGTGAGAGAGAGAGAGAGCTGAAACAAAACGAGTTGGACGAGGACTTTGTGGGCGTTTGGACAGGAACTCGACGGCGATTCCGGCACTGACCAGGCCACTCTCCTACCCGATACCCGGGTCGCACGGAAATCAAGTTGTGTCAACAGCTTAAAAGCCAAAATGTAATAAGCCAGGGAAATGTAATGTAATAAAATATCAAATATAAAATGGCGATGGTCCTGGCGGGGGAGCATTTGTTGCCATTAAAGTTTCACTTTGAAATTGGAGGCAGACGGAGGGGCCAGGGAAACCGAGGCCGCAGCCAAGCAAACTGGGGAATCTAACAATATCACGGAACTGGGATGCTCTTATAGTCAGATCTTAAATTCTGAACTATATTTCTAAAGATCTAAACAGATCTAATTTTGTAAGGCGTCTAAAAGGACACCTCTTTATCTCGCTTACATATTTCCAAATCCTTCAAAGACTTTTTAGGGATAATCGCATATATATATGAACCTAAAAAAGCGATTAAAATCTGTGCCAGAGCTCTGTAATAAATAATATTGTGGCAAGCTTAAGGCCAAAGTAAATATGCCCGGGTCAAGGGCCATTAAACGGATTGCTTGCCTTTGGATTTTGTGTAGCCGCAAAATATGCAATATTTTATTATTGTTGCCCCGAACAGTATGCAACACTTTATTTCAGCGCCATGCGTTTCCGCTTCAGCTTGGATTTCCTTTTGCGAAGCAGACGGAGAATAAGGAAAATGAGGAGAAGGTGGCTCTCGGCAAATCTGGAACAGTTCCAAGCCTTGACTCCTCGACGCCTGCTCTTGTGTGAGTGCCAAAAAGTATGCTAGATAGTTTTTACATGCGATTTGAATGAGCACAAACGGATATCGCGCTGTGCGCTGAAACGCCTTAAGTGGCACTCGGAATCATTTTAAAACACTCCAAAGCTGTTTCTGGTGAAGAAAATTATTTCTAGCTGGCAAGTTTCTCTTGGCCAAGAGAGTCTGCGGTTCCGCACTTTATTAGGGGATTCCGCACACACATACTACATTCAAAGCTTGGCATTATAAATTTTTGCTTTGAATTTGAGAAGAAACTTTTTGCGCATTGATACGCCACATAATTGAGTTCACAAACGGAAGTTCTCTCTGCGGCCGCTTCTCAACCCCCTCCTATCCATGAGACATTGAACCAAAACAACAAATAAATGTTTGTAAACTTTTCTCACCAGGTTTTTTGTATTTATTGTGCGCCTGCCTATTCAGTTTGTTCCTTTATTATTTCCATTTTTTTTACTCGATTCAAGAGTTCAATCAACCCTTTGAAAGTTGGCCGTAACAAAAAGTTGTGAATAACTCGGCTCTGTTGGCCACTCAGACTTTTTAATGACCATCCCGGCGGGACAGAACTTTCCTTTCGAATGCCTTGCCCGAAATACAAATTAAAGGCCGAGCAGCAGCAGACTCGTATCCTGTGTCCTGTATCGTAAAATGGGCAGGACCTAGCTGGCCCGGCGTTAATTTTATGTCTTGCAGTATGTTGCACGCAATGTAAATGCTAATTAAGAACGGCGGCAAGTGTCTGTGTCCGTGTCTGGAGCTGGGAAATCGAAGGGGCGGCACTTGCCGCCTAATTGCGTAAACCAAGCGTTTGATTGGTATTTGCACAGCAATTGACATTAAATAGTTGAATCAATAAAAAATTAAAACGGATGCCCACCACAACAACGGCAATCAAGTGCGACTTTCGGCAAATATTTAATGTGCTCTGGGGGGAGTCAGGGTTAAACAGGCGCGGGGCTGGGAGCATTGTTTTAACCATCACCCCCCGCCTAATGACTAACTAAACAAGCTGTTATTCCCCCAGCGATATTATAGAGCAACAATATTATTATTAGCCCCAACGGCGAACGGTCATTGGCCTACTCCAATGGAAGAAGTCAAGAAACCTCAATTAGGCTGTCAATCAACACATCAAACGGAGTCAAGTCGCCTCGTTTTAGTCGTCGACATTCCGCCAAATAATAGAGCTATTGATTTTCCACCCCTTAGCCTCCAATCCTGACCCCGTTCTAATGATTCTCGCGGCTCGCTGCCCGTGGGCGTTGGCTGACATGCCCCAGGCAGCTCTTGATCGCCTAATTAGCTGCCTGTCCGCCGAATGGATGCCTCCTGATTTTCGCTCCTCTGGCTGGAAAAGGAGCACAAAGCCCGTAGAAATTACCCGTCAAATAAGGCAAATAATATTTCGCAGTCAGTTCAAGTGCTTACAAAATGCTAAAGTGTCCGTTGAGTAAATATTTAGGTATGTAAAGCTTATTTAGTTAAGTTCAGGTAGTCATTAAAGGAGTTAGAAAACAAGGCAAGATATTAAACAGTATAATTTAAATAGAAATGTATCCCCATTTTCCAGAATTTTCATCTGAAATCTCTTACTTGAAGATTGCTGCCACTTCAAAATTTAAGCTTCTCATATATTTCTCAGCAAAACAAATAAATATATCTCCTGAGTATCGGATTATCCATTTGTTTATGTCTGCTAATTGCCCCGAAGAACAACCACTTCAGAGGCTGAATTTTCCCGTATGAGAAGAGAGGTTTCGAAGCAGGAATGTGAAAGAGTGAGGTGAGTTCCCGCCAGTTGATAAACGAGCGGAACTGCAAGGAACTGACTGAATCTGACTGAATCTAAGCCTTTGTTCGATTTAATTATCGGTTGCACAAAGAGCTGGGCGGGCAAAGTCTTGCCGGGCTCCGAGGGCACATCCTTGTGGCATGTGGCATTTGGCAGGGATGTAACAAAAAACCAATAACGAAAGTGGAGTTGCACTGCCGGCGATGTCAGCATCCGTGCAGGATCCCAATCCCACCCGTCGCCCACGAGGAATGCTGAATGCTGCTTGCCCCTTTATCGATTAGCGCTTGTAACGGCCCCTACCTTTGGGAATGTTTGTGCACTTAGGAAAAAAGATTTGCCTAGATTGTAAGGACCAAAAAGGCAATGGATATTTTTAACAGAATATATGAAATATTCAAACTATAAAGAAAATATTAGTATGTATATACAAGTTTAAAGTTTCTTCAAGTGTACATACAGTGTACACAAACAAACATGTTACTAAAACTGCTGTAACCAGTGACCTCTCATCCCCAGACCCCACCAAAGGGCTGGGGGCTAAGAGAGAGGCTACCAGAGCAAATGACGCTGCAAATGAAAGCAGGAAACGTTGCCGCATTCATTCATTTTACACACAAAAGCCATTAACCGCTTTGATTCCATTGTTTTGTTTGTCATCATCATCATCAGCAGCAGTAGCAGAGCCGCCATCAGCCCCACCCCCTTCTACACCCCCACCCATTTCCAGTCCCAAACCCACTCCCAATCCACGTGGAAATACAGGAACTTCTGCCACTTCAATTCCCCGTTCCCTTCAAGGGGTCACGGGTCACCAGAGGACAAGGGTATGAAGCGAAGTCAAGGCTGTGATTTACACGATTTGCCATTTGATTTTTAATGGACTTGGCGTCATAGAATCTGACACTAAATCCGAGGGCAGCTCGGTTCACTTTAAATAAATTGAATTCGCTGAGGGGCTAAATGTCGGCCCCAGAGAATGTCTACCCAGAGAATAGTTTCCTTTAAAAGTGATACTTTTTATGGTATTCCTTAAATAAATTAAATACAAATAATAATTAGATTATCCTTTAGAAAGGATTTCAAAACCGTATAACTTTAGTAGACCTTTAAAGCTTGTAAAGTACACCTCTCTTAAATTAGTTACCATAATTAAATGAATCTTGAAATCTGTTTCTTTGTTATTCTTTATTCGATCCCTCTTTTCTCACCTATGACCTTAGGACGCTTCCATGGGGCTCTAAACCAAGCACTTTTCACCCATTTCAGGCATTGTTGTCCCTCTTGCGCCCCAATATTATTATTATTGAAAGACTTTTGCTGAGCTGCGGGTTTTATAAAGTGCTTGCGGTTCCTCTTTTCCCCAGTTATCCGTGCCGTGGACCATCAACCGGCGCGGACCCCGTAGACGGTCTCCGTCCGGTGATTGCAAAAAACGACTCTTGCGGAAAAATCAACATTGCACAAAAGTTTTCAACGCTCTCGTACCGCCGCCCAGACTCGCTATCACCATCACCCACCACCACCTACTACTGCCCGTCGTCATCCTTCATTTCGCTCCCTTTGCATTGCTTTTTTGTTTTGGCTTAGCGCTGATGATGTATGCACTTTGAAAGAGTTGAGCAAAGTGGTTTTTCGGGTTTGATGAGCTAACGTCAAGTCCACCGCCCCCATGGCCATGCCCATTTTCCGGCTGAGAAATATGAGCATGTGCTGGTGTTTGATTTCCCCGAATCCGTGTGTTTGATTTGGACTGCTGCCATGAAGTTATTAATGGACTTCAATGGGGTTTCAATTATGCGATTTCTGCGATTTGAATTTGAATGATATTTTGATTGTTTGCGCTTGCATTTTATCCGAGGTTTGGTGCTCTGAAATGCATTGCTTAATTTAATCAGAGCCACTAATGGCTTTGCCATGGGGTTAACTCAAGCGTCAATTAATTGGCGAACAAATCATACAGAAAATAAATAAATTGCCTGATATCAAAGAATTTATTAACGCTAAAAGAATTGATTTGCGTAACTCTTAATTTTAAATAACATCAATTCAATGCAGTTTAATTTGAATAAATAATAAAACGTTATTATGGCGAATATAACCGATTATATTAAAATGTTTTCGTGGTCACATTTCATAATCGATCGTAAACGATCTGAGGTGGTCGCCGCATCCTATGTCGTCCACAAACCTCAACCTACATACCATATTATCGTTGGTAAAGGTAATTAGATCTGTTTTTGGATAAACGTCTTCGATGGCTGGCACGCCCAAGTCCCAGCATCTCTCCGCCACCTTGTATACCAGGTCGTGATTTGCGAGAGTTTTACCAAGAAAATGAATTTTGAGACAGTGTGCGGGAATTTGAAGGATTTGTTGTAATTGTCCCTTTAAATCGCAAACCAAGGCTTCGTCCGGAATTTTGATTTTTTGACAATGACTAGATATAACAGTGTCTTCCACGAATAATTTAATATGCATCATTTTGTTTTAATTTTTGTTTTTGTTTAAGAAGAAATTCTACTAAAAAATTGTGTTAATTGTAGGAAAGCAAAAATTTGACTGAGATAACTATTCCTTATTCCTTAATATAAATCAAGGCTAACGTGATTAAGGTTAGGTTATGATTTTATAAATTTGTAAGCTTCTTTATTTCTGGCGGACTTATTGCACACTAGTCTCAATTCGTCGATATTCAACACTGATTTCTCGTCGATCTGGCAGCCCCAAAAGAAAGCTTTTCTATCTCGTGGTTTTTACGACCGGATAGAGAAAAGGTAATTCTTATTTCCAAATATAGTTCGTAAACTTGAGTTAAATAACAGGAAAGTGTCCTTAGTGCTACAGGAAACCCAGAGTATAAGGAAAACAACTGCAATGAAGCGAAAAATGCAAGAACTTGATAAGCAATCGGATATTCAGGTAACTCTGTTCGGAGATGCTTATATCGCAGATTCAAAGACTCCTACGGAAACCGATGTGCTCAATATCTATAAGGACCTGTCCAAGCTGACAGACATAGAGCGCCATCTGAATTTGCTATACAGGTATGTAAGTTGTGAGCCTGTCCCTTGATTTCCAGGTTAATGGGAGCTAATATGTAAACGCTTTCTTGTAGACCCTTCGCCTGCTTCATCAACACAAAGTGTCATTACAATCTGATGAATCTGAGCCTCTGTATACCCGGCTGCACCTACGACCCCGACAGACATATGGCTCTGGTGACAACTCACCGTCGCCCCATAGCCACCATCAAGATCTACGCCAATGGTAACATATATTGTCAGGCCTTTAACCGGATAAATGCCTATCAGGTTCTGTCCAACTTTTCGGAGGCACTGGCCGAATTGAGCGGATACTCCCCCTGTCTGCGTCAGCCCAAGTTCAACCTGGTCAACGCCACCTTCTGCATGCCGTTCCCCTTGGACCTGCAGGCACTTAACAGGCGTTATGAGCGCTCAACCGTGTACACTCCCAAGAAGTATCCGTTTCTGACCTATCGCATGAAGGACTCTATGATCAAGTTCGCCATCTTCCCCGTGGGCTATGTGTACGTGATGTTCTCCACCTATCCGGAACAGACCCGGCGGGCAATAGCCCATGTCCTGCGCGTCCTGTACACTTGCCGGGCTCCCAATCAGCAGAATCAAAGCGATCTTGAGCTCAGCCATGGCGATATCAACTTCAAGCTGCTTTGGGAGAAGGAGTTCCAGAGAGATGACGACTTTTCAATCCAATGGAAAGCCACATGCCGGTAGGCTATAGTTCTAAGATGCGGCAGGAGAATATTTTGAATATGCATAACGTTAATTTCTCCCCACAGTGAAAGTTTTCATCACATGCACATGAGCTTAAATGGCCCATAAATGTCCGGAATACTGCCCGGAGGGACACAAGTGTTTGAAACCGTTTTGTGCCTGCTTCAAAGTGTGCGATATACTATATGGGAAGTTTCTTCTAAAATAAAGCATGTTTTCACAAGTCACTGCCTTTTATTGGAATCCCCCGGGAGAAACGAGACGGGGGTCAATGTAAAACCAAGCCAGAAATCACTTGCGAATTTACAATGTAGATTTCCAACTGCAACTCACCTGAACACCGAATGGCTGTTGTGGTGTGACGGTGGGAAGGACAATCCACTAACATAATAAAAACGACAGCGAGGATGACAAAGCGGCAAAATCGAATCGGCAGCGAAAATGTGTCAAATGGAATTTGAAACCATAGCTTCCCATCAGTGCCCTCGTTCGTCCAGGGGGCATCGATGTACGTCATGAAAAACAATTCAGTCATATTTGTGTGCTTTTCGCCTTTTTGTGTGTTTGTTTTGTAAACGCAGCAGCTCACCAACAGAGTGGGGCCTCTGGTATTCGCAATTTGAGCTGTTACGTGCCGATAATTTGGGGCGTTTTCCGTTTGTCATTTCAACCGCACGACATGCACACAGCAGAGTCACTCCTCTATTTGGATTCTCATATTGGACAATGATGCTGCTGGCCGTATCCTGTGGCCTGCAGGTGTGCTCACCAGTTAAATATAATTTTCCGATTTTAATTTTTAGCGATTTGCAACTCTAATAATTTTTATCTTTGATATCTGATTTCCTATAACTAATTAGGTATTCCTTCACCATTGGAATTATTGCTCCTCCGAAATATAAATCCCCTTAAGTAAGCACACAGTTTTGGTGGACTTACCAGATTAGAGCTCTTAAAAACCGAACAAAAATAAAAACCAACTTGACTGCAAATTCAGGGCTTAAATTCAGTAAAAAAATACATATTTTTGCTGAAAAACAAATTAACTGAATTGTGCTCATTTGAATTCCAGGCGCAGAGCTAAAAATGCAAAAAGTAATTAATATCCTGGCGTTCGTGTGTCCATGGTCCAAGCTTTGCATTCTGATCCCGCAGGACTGCTGTATGGTGGCCAGCCAGTGGAGGGCTTGGAGAGCTTTGTGGGATGGGTGGACTGCATTTTCATAATTTCAGCACAACAGCGGCGAACAAAACGTCGGGGAAGTCCCGAAGGGACCGAAACGAAGCGCAGTAAATTCCGACGCACTGGAATTTATGCAGCAAATATTAACTTACCGCACACACACGACTCCTGGCGCATAAATCCAAGGCAAGCAGCAGCAGGACCACCAAGAGAGCAGGAGCAGCCAAATGATCCCCGTCCCGCCGATTTGTGCTTGGCCAGCAAGAACTGACAACAAAACTCATTAGCAGACCCGGCGACCGTGACCGTCGCGCAAAATGGGCGTGGACCTCGTCCTCGTCCTCGTCCACATCCCATTCCCAAATGGGCGTGGTCCGCTGGTCAACCGCAGCCCCGGGAAAGCTAAAGAACTGGAGAAAAGTCGAACGAACAAAAAAAAAGAACGCAGCGTGCACTTCCGTTTGCGGAAAGTTCTCGTTATTTTATTCATATTTTCGCAGGCTGCACTTTATCTCGCTGCGGCGGTCTTAGTTGGCGAAATTGTGTGCAACCACGAAAATCTAATAAGCGCGCAAATTTGTTGACATTGCGCAAATGTTTTTTACGGGCCTAAGAGGCGAAACTTTCGCCCGTCCAGCCTCCGAAATCGCCCAAGCCCGCCTTCGTTAAAGATGGCTGTGGTCTGGCCTTGGTCCTTAACCCATTTTGTGGCATTGCCAGATTCTGTTTTCGGCAGCAAGCAAGTGAAAAGTTTCCATCTGCGCCAATTTGGAAGTAATTAAGCTCTGGAAATCTTAGTCTTCTTTCTCAGGCTTTATAAATAAAACGAAAATTGTAAGCTAAATACATAGAAAACGGAGTCTATACGTGAAGATTCTGGTTTATATATTTATTTATATTAAAAATATATTCAGAAAGTTTTTGAGGAAAGGAATACAAATGTATATTTTCAAACCAAACGTCATTAAACAGAGTATCAAAAGTGCAGTTAAGACTTAAAAGTCCTCTGATAGATGGGTAAAACCAAGCTTTTCTGCCTTTCACCATAAACTTGCTAAATGGCGAAAGAAACCAGTCTGCGGAGCAAAAAAGTGAAGGCCTTTAAAGGATGCGGCTGATAAAGGACGTGTTTTCAGTCGTCAGGACTCCCCATCGATCGGATGGTCCGTCAGAGGCGCAGGGGCGGCGAGACAATTTCATTAACCGCTGCGCCGTTTAAAGGCCAAGACTTCGTCCCTTTTGATTTTTATCGGTTGACCTCGACACGAGAGTGTCCTGTCTGACAGGATTAAATGCGAGCACAGCCCTGGGGCGGGGCGTAAAGATTTTAATTATTTTTGCGGTTTGAAAATGCATTCGTTCCCGGACAGCGCCCGCCCCACGCCACTCGCCTGTCAAGGCAAAGGACATGCGGGCGAAAGGATGCAGGGTAAAGGAGCAACCGCAGACACCCCGACTTTTATCAGCGCCTTGCAATTGTCATGTGCGCGCGGGTGAGCTCACTGCATTCATTTAAAAGAAAAGTGCAATAACATGTTATTTTAACCCAGACAGGACTTCCTTCTCCTGCTGCTGCTTCTCCCTGGTTATTCCCAGCCTGATTGTAAACGGTAAGCGGCTTTAAAACATTCACTGCCTTATTACGAAATTACAAGCGGATGACAGGGACGAAGGCGGTCCTGCGCTGAATTATTCGAAATTCCCCAATAATTGAAAAAAGAAAAATAAGCGGCGGGATAAACCGAATCAAAAGGAATGGGTGCGCTGGACACTCGAATCATCTGAAATCAATGAAATATTCAATGATTTACATTTGCGTTCAGACGTTTTTTGCTCATTATGGAAATTTATTTATTATGTCCCACGTTTTGAATAAAAAAGAGAGAAAAAATGAAACCAAATGAGAAAGAAATGGTTCAGCTTACGCGAAATAAAAGCAGATTTAACGAGTTATTTACCAATTTAAATTATTAAAAAAGCAGGCGACATAACTCTGATGAGTTAATGCTAATAAAAATATATCACTTGAACATTTAAGCAATTTAAGTTACAGCCACAATGCCTACCAGTTCCTACGAATTTAATTTTGTTAAGAAAATAATACAACTCATGAGAAATATCAAGCCAAAGCTTAAGCTTAAACCACTTTGTGAATAAGCCATTCCCTGTTCTCATGCCATAAGCAACTAATATTATGTTGGCAACACTTATCGAAAGCCTTCAAGAACTTTATCCATTCCCGTTTGCCCTTTTGTGCATTTACCAAGCTCACTCTTTATGCAAGTTTCAAGGAATTCCAACTAAAGCCATATTTTTAGGAGTACGACATGGATTTAGCCGGGGCTAAAAAGGCACCGAGAAAGGAGGGCAGCTATTTTTCGAAGAAATATCCGTACAAATTTTCACAATTAATATGCACTTCCTGTGCAGACGACTTGCAGGCAGTTTTGAATGCAACCGGCAACAACAAGTAGGAGGGGAGGAGGACTCCTTATTTTTCGGGGGAAGGAGCATTCCGTTTCTCAAGCAAACCCACACCGAACCGAAGTTCACATGTGAGTTCATTGCTGCCATTAATGAATACGTGTGCAGCAATAAAGCCATTTTTTATGGGCAAAAGTCACGTGAGAAACTATTTAGTACATTTACGAGCGACCCGGGGGTAGCAGCTGCGGTGTGGTGAGGGAGTGCAGCTCTGGCCGGTGCAACTTTGTGCCTGACACAGCCAGAAGAAAGCCAAGTTTCTTTCTACATAAATACTCTGTCCCATTGTGTGTGAGTGGTGTGTGTGTGTGTGTGTTAGTGGGAAACGAATCACGGCAAAAAGTGAAAATATTTTCTAGTTACTCACATGCATATTTATATACGTGTGCTTATAAACCAGAACCATACACACCTACATATACTATATAACTAAAAGAACTATATTGCCAAAAGCCCCGACTATAAGATACCCGGTGAAGGGATATTGCATATTTCACAGGGCATATAAAATGTATATAAATATATGATTAATATATAAATATATAAAATATAAGTATTATATAAACTAATTGTAGATCTATAAACAATTAGTTTATATAATACAATAAACCAAGTTTTAAGATCCAGAAATATATTTTAAAAGCCTCTTGCAAAGGGATCCATATACGTGAGACTTTCTTCTTCTACTATAACTACTATTTTACTATTATACTTTTATATTTATCAGCTTTTTCCGGCCGTAAAGGGTACCTATAATAGACTCTTAGCAGTCTACCTCCGCCATGTATAAAAAGGGAGGCATTTTGCGCGCTGCCTGAATTAATTTTTGGCATTTATCAACTAAGCAAATTGAAATCGTGTCGGTTGAGTCTGGCATTCCTAACCCAGTTTATTGTTGGGCTTCCTTTGATATGTGCACTCGAACTCTCTTTTTGTAGAGGGTCTTGGGTTTGCAGCAAGGCGAAAAGGCCGCTTGTACGACTTCAACGTATCCGATGTTGTCGTATGTGTAAATCAAGGAGTTTTTGATACTTCCTCAACGGTTTTTTGGCACATCAGATAATTGATTTCAGAGTGGAACGACTCTCTGGGGCGTTAATGAGTGACGGTTGGCAAAGTTTTTGAATTGTTTAGAGTTCCTAGAAAAAGAAAAGGAATAATAGGGGTTCCCTTCATGGAATAAGTGGGCTTTCGATCAAACATTAAAGATATTTTAACGATTAGTGTGGTGTGTTATTTTTAAATAAACAAAAATGAAACGAAGTGGCATTACAAGCCACCAAAACTGCAGGACCTTATATAAAATATATACCCCTAGCTTAGTCACTTTTTT